TAATCATTATTTCTCTCATTTCCTTATTTTCTGGTTTCTTTTAAAATTTTGAATATCTAATTCGCCTAGTTTATTGAGGAAAGATGAAACCCAAAAATTAAAAGATCATCTCATTAATTTAACCATAAAATTATAAATACTTTCTTAAAATGATAAAAAGCAAAACTATAAACTATAATTTAGTAATATTAATAATATAGAATTGAGGGAGAAAGAGAAGAACTCAAAAACGTAAAAAAAAGGGATGACCACTTCAACGAATGATATTAAAACAGTGCATGTTAATAAGGGAAAAGAGTTAAGAATTATTACTGGAGAAAATTTTACATTTAAAATATTAAAAGGACAGATGGAGTGGAATGGATGTGAGTTGTCAAATGGAACTGCACAATCTATTCAACAAAATACGTGGTTATCATTTTATGCTATTGAGGAATCTGATGTTGAAATTGTTAATTCAAAAAGTTGTTATATTGGAATAAAGTCAGTTGTTGAAGAGTATTATTCTATTTTCAATAATTTAAATGACAACCGTAGTCATTTTGCTGAAGATGAACCAGCACAAATTATTCTTATTACTGGTCCAGCTCGTTCTGGTAAAACAACATTCGCATTACATCAACTAAATTATCAAGTTCAATATGGGTATAATCCATTGTTTGTTGATTTAAGTTTATCAACTAATATTATTACTGTTTGTTATTAACTTTATTTATTAATTTTATAGCAAAGTACTAAATTATAAAATAACTTTTTTGTTTATTTCTAGTTTAACATAATGAAACGTTGTTAATATTTAAATTAAAAAATTAACTTTTAGCTTCCAGGATGTATTGGCTGTACTGTCGTATCAAATACCTTTTCACCAACAACACAACTTGATTATAACTTTAATCAACCATTAGTGTATTGCTGTGGAACAACAAAGATAGAAGATAAAAACCCATTGTATTATCATTATATAGAATTATTAGCAGCTAATTGCTTAACGAAAATGAATTCAGACCAGTCAGTGAAAAAGAGTGGAATGATTATTCGATGTCCATTTATTTCAATGGAAGTAATTAAAAAAGTTGTTAATAGTTTCAAAGTTGATTTAGTTTATGTTATGGATAGTGAACAATTATTAAATGAAATTGAGTCATCTCAATTTGATCATTGTGTGACTTCTTCATTTGTAAATAAACCTGCAGGAATTCCATTATGTATTGAATATAATTCATTTATTAGACGACTTCAACACCGAGCGGTAAATAATTATTTTTATGGATGTAGTCCAGAATCACCGTTATGCCCACGTTCATCTGTATTATTAAGTTCATCAGCTAAAGTAGTAACAATTAAATCATTAAATAATGAGAATGCTGGATTTCTTCCTATTGGACAACCTGCATCTCAAAAACCATATGTTGAAGAAAAAGATAGACAAGATATGAAAAAGAATGATGTGTATGCTTTATTAAATTGTACTACTGTTGATGAAGTATTAAATGATACAACAAATGTTATTGGATTTGTTACTGTTGAAAATATTGGTATTTCAACAGAAGATCAAAATATTCTTTCTTTACAAATAGAAATTTTGTCACCACATCCAGTTGAAGAGTTACCAAGTACTGTATTGGTAGCAACAGGAATGAAGATAGAACATGATATTTAAAAACCATTGATTTTTTAATTTAATTTTTATTTCTTTTAAAAAGAAAATAAGAAATTAATTATTTAAAAAAATTTAATCAGTTACATTTTGTTTCAATTACTTATTGCTATTTTCAACAGGTTCAACTCCATCAGAAATAATAGCATCTCCATCATTTTGTGTTGGATCTGGTGTTTCTGTTGGTTTATTTGGAGTGTCTTCAATTGGCACTGACGTTTGATCATTAATTGTGCCTTTCTCATCTCTGAGAACTTTTAGAATACTTGTTCTATAAATATCACTACCATCTAAACTTGTTGAAGTTCTTACAGTATCCATAGACGACCTACCAACATCTGCAGAAGATCTAGATATGTCATCAAGTTCAATTGTAACTTTAGATGGTGATTGAACACGATTGAAACCAAAGATATTTGTTGTACGTTTATAAACACTAGCAACAATAGAAATAATTAAAATCCCACAACAACACATAAAGATATTAAGAAAGTGTAACCAAGTTTTACCAAATGCAGAACATAATAAACCACAAATAAAAGGTGATAATGAATAAGTCATTTCACCAATAAATTCACTAATACCTAAAAATTTACCATGATTATGTGAAACTGTAATTGAATAATATAAATTGGCTTGTAATTCATATCCAGCAACTATTCCCATTGGAACAGAAAATATCATTACTATCCATCCATTAGGACTAAATAAAAGACCGAGAGCAACAACTAACATTGTACAAAGAGCAAGAAGATTAAATCTTTGTTTATATTGCCAATAACTCCATCTTCCAAGAACAATGAAAGTAATAGTTTGTACAACATTTTCAACAAATAAAAATACACCAACAAAAACTGAAGCCTCTTCAGAAATACCATTAAGATGGATATGATGATCATCAGCATAATCTACATATTGATTACTAATAATAGCAATTACACCATAAAGGAATAAATGCACTACAATAGAAGAATAATAAAAAGTTTTTGGATGACTTCTATTCTTAACAGTATTTTGAAATACTTTCTTTGGATTTGTTTCATCATTTTTATATCTTGGTTTTCTTGGGAAAATAATAAAAACAAATAATGGTAATACTGCAGCAACATACAATGAATAAGATGCACCTAAAATACTAATAGCACTTCCACCTAATAAAAATCCAACAGCTTTACCAAAAGCACTTAACATAGCAAAATTTGAGATATTTTTATTTTCTTCACCGATATATGATTCCGCTCCAATTAAAGTTTCATCTGGTGACCAAAACGCTGCTAAACCAATTCCTTGTATTATTAAGAATATAAATAAAACACTTGTTCCAGTATTATTAACATAATAAATAGCAGTAAAAATACAACTTAGTGCTTGTAAAATACAAGCCAATTCACATAATATTTCACCTCTCCATTTATCAGTTAATATTCCCATTATTGGAGCTAATACTCCAGCAAGACAAAATGTTACTGCATCTGCTGCTCCAATAAGTATAGGACCAGCTTGAAGTTTTTTTAATAAAACGGGAAGAACAAGCCAATAAAAATAAACACTAAAATCGAACATCATTCCAGTAATACAATATAAAGGCATATTAGCCTTTTTATACAAATTCTTTATGCTAACCATATCCACTAATTATTAGATAAGTTCTTATTTTCTTTAAATTGAATTGGAATTCTTTTCCATTATTCAGTTACATTTTTGTGGGGATGTACTTTTTAAATTTTTTCCTTGAAGACGAGGTATTTTTCCCATTTTTGGGCATACATTTTTGTTTATTTTTATTTTTTTCTTTTAGAAGTTTTAGTAATATTCTTACTTTTTGATGGTTTCAAATGGTTTGCTTTGGGTCTATTGAATTAATTAGAAATACTAAAATCTTTGTTACTTTAGTCAATATTATTTTGCTTTATATGTTTATAAAAAATAAAAAGTGAAGAATAATATTATAACTAAACTTTTGAATATTAAAACTTTCTTCTAGAAACCAAGAAAATATAGGTTTGTTGTTGTCGAACAGAAATAATATAATTCACCATCAGTTATTTAATTTAGGTTACCGTAAGCACCAAAATGTTTTCTTTCATCATTTTGGCCTTCTTTCTTTCTTTTAATTACTGCATATGCGATAATGGTTCCCATCACAAAGGCGCAGAAAATAACAATTACTGCAGTAATTATTCCAAACCACATCCACATCTCCCATTCTTTTTGTTCTGCTTTTGCATCTCCTATTTTTGTTATATTTAGCAAAAATGAACGGTCATTAACTGAAGGGACAATAAATCCTGCATAAATCTTAAGTGGAGAAGATGGATGAATTTCAACTGAAACTCGTGCACCTAATCCACTTGCACATTTCAAATCTCCAGTAGAATAACTATCAGCTAATTTAAGACACTTACCACCATTTTCATAGAGGACATGAATAGCATTTAATCCATCTGAATATCCACATGTATTAATTTCAAGTAGTAAGTCTTCATCTATGTCAACTGTATACAAATCACCATATATACCTTGTGATTCTTGGTCTTCATCTAAATTTGAACAAGAATCTTTAGTTTCATTAATATAATGTGGAATAGTGATATACCTAAAGAAAGGAAGGTCTTTTATAGTGACTGTAGTACCATCAGCGTCTTGTTCTGGTACATACTCAAGATTAATATTAATTAATTCAGTAGTTAATTCAGTTGAATAGACAACTAATTTGTATTGGACATTTGTTTCTATTTTGATAGGAATACCAAGAATGACCTTATTGCATGTGTGATTATTTGCACCTTCAAGGAAAATTGAAAATGTTACATTATTAGTATTTGATGAAACAAGAAGAGAATGGTTTTTAATTGAGTCAAATATAAATGCAGAAGTATAAATACTTGTTAATTTCATTGAAGTACATTGAGTTTTCTCAGTAATTGTTGTACTTAATTGTGTAGATAGTTGTATTGGAATATCAATAAGTTGTGGATCAGAATAAGGGTTTGCAAGTACAGCACTAATAAAAAAAAGAAGTATTTGAATATTCATTTCTTTTAATAAATATTTTTAAGTGCTTTTTATTTAGAGATGTACCTTCTTCTTTTTTCCTAGTCATACTTGATAATTCAGACTCTTATTTCTTATAATATTTTTATTGTCTACACCTCAATAAACGTCCCATAGACATATATGAAAATAAAAATTATCCAAAAAAATAATTTTTATGAACTTTCTCCTTCTTTATTATTTAAATTTTGTTGAAACCCTCTTTGGATTTTTGAATAATTTTAATGATAAATTAAAAAAAATATCTAAATAAACTTGTGGAAAAATAAGTAGTTTCTTTACTTTTGGTTGAAAGGAGAACATTAATTGAATAAATAATAGTATAGGTCATTATCATTCTGAAATATAGTGAAATAAAATATCTTTTTTATTTTTATTTTAATAATACTTTTTATGGCTTTTCATTTCAAGTAATAACTTGTAAGTAATTTATTCTCAAAAACTATATCTTTTTATTATTATTATCCCAAAAACGAATAACTTCATTCTATTTTAGTAGGTTTTGGTTGTTTTGTTTTACTTAAAAATAGTTTACTTTATATTAATATAATAAAAAAGTTAATAAATTTTTTTACTATAAATATTCTGTGTTTCTCATAAAGAGGAATATTAAGGAATTTTTTGAATAAATTTATACATTAATTGAGTTGTCATAAATCATAAAGGAGAGAGAGATAATTTTTTTTTGACTTATTTAAGCTAATATTTAATTATTATACAATTTAGAAAAAAAAACATTAATTGAGTTTGTACTAAAAATAATGTTATCTGAGTTTTTCTTTCTTGACATTAAATTTTAATACATGAATCTATGAAAAATAAACCTGAGACATTTTCATTAATCTTTTGTATTAATAAATTTAAGAACTAAATGTATTATAACACACACACTCATATATATTAATTTTTAATGATGTAGTTATTTTCTTTAAGTGAAATAAAAAAGATATTTGTTATATTCATAATTTGAATAATGAATTATTTTAAATTGAATTAGGTTTAATATTTCAAATATACAGTTAGAGTATAAAATAAGAATAAATTTATTATATATTTTGTTTCAGAGAAGATTTAATTTCGTATATTTTGAGTAAGTCATTTGGAAGTTATTTATAAAACAATAATCTGTTGAGATAAACTTTGTTTTTGTTAAGATGAAATGAATAATTATTTCAATAAAAACTCACGTAGAGAGTATGTCTTCACCAAAACATAATTTTATTCCTTTTTATTTAATCCTCAAAAAGTGAAGTTTTATTTCAGAATTGATTAAATAAATAATGAAAAATAAAGAGAATAATAATCATTAAATAAGAAGTATAAAAAGAAGGAGATGATGATTTATTCTATGAGTAAGTTATACTCAATGAAAACAAAACAAAAGCTGTAAAAATAAAATTAATTTATGTTTTTTAAATAAAATTAATATTTCATAGAATTTGGTAACAAGCAATTATTTTAAAGATTTTTGATGGTAAGAAATGTTTAAAATAATAAATGAAATCAAACAAAAATCAAAGGGAAATAAATAAAAGACAAAATCATCGGAATGGTTCTTTTCTTTTTTAAAAATAAAAAATGACGAATTAAAAGAATAAAAATCAGACAAAAATAATGGGGGTTAACCAAAAAAAGAATAAATCAAGCCTGATTCTAACATCTATTTAAGACTGTTCTATAATTATCTTAATTTAGAATTGAAAGCGAAAGACAAACAACCCCTTTCTATTAATACAAGTTTTTATTGTAGTTTTTAGCATTTTTAGAAAAAAATTCAAGTCATTTCTACTCTTTCACTCTTTGGATAAATTCAATTTAAAAAGTGATTAAGGAAGAATATTCTTTGTTGGGGGTATTTAATGATTTAGTTCAGTTCTAATTATTCAATTACTTATGGATTCAAATAGATACTTCAATTTACCAGAGCCTTATACTCAAGAATTTATTAATCAAGTATATAACATTTATGAATTTCAAAAAAAAATATTAGAAAGTCTTGATTCTAAAAATCATAATAATTATACAAGAGTAGAGAATTCTCCTATTATGTCAGATAAAGACAATGAAATGAATCCTTATATTTATTCAACTAAAACAGAAATTAAACCACAAAAAACAAAACGGTATTGGACTAAAGAAGAATGTTTATCTTTTGAAAAAATAATTAAATTTTTAAATATAAATTGTGGACAAGCACTTGATTTTCGTTTGATCTCTATGTATGTTAAGACAAGAACACCTACTCAAGTTAGAAGTCATGCACAAAAGTATTTTTTAAAAGAAGTTTGGTATTTTATTTTTATAAAGAATATTTCATTTATTAATGTTATTTTTTAGCGAGAAAATAATTCTGTTTTAACATCAAATGATCTTATAGAACTTAATACACTTGTTACAAATTATAAACTAATGAACAAACATGGAAATCAACATCATCTTCTTGTAAAATAATTAACTCTTTTTTATTACGTTAATTAATAACATAATAAAAAAAAATTTGTTTTGTATTAATAACAAAAATTTTATTTGTCTTGAATAATTTAATTTATTTTGTTTTTATGTTAATAAATAGAATATAACTTTTTTTCTTTCATTTTATGGAGTTTTTTGTTCAAAAATATATTTTTATCTTCTCAACTTCCACAAATTAATAAAATTCTTCATACTTTAGCAATTTTAAAAGAAAAATAACTCTTTGTTGTTGAATTCTCATTTTTTCAACAAAGACGTACAAATTTTTTTAAGTTGAAACTTAAACTAATTATTCTTTAATATAAGAAGTAACTTCTTTGTTAATTTAAAAATACAAATCCAACCACTAAATTCATAAAAATATATCAAATTTGAAAATAAGATATACATATTATCTATTAAATTATTTATATAAGTATTTCATTACAATCTACTTGCTTATTATTTTGAATTTAATTTTAATATTATCTCATGTTACAATTATATTATTCTTTATTTTTTTTATTTACTTTCGTTACAATTCAATTATTCCAATATTTTGATTTATTATTTTTGATAAATATTTCTTTTTACAATTAATTAAATGAAGGTATTATGTTTATTTCACAAGAATCAATAAATAATTTTATAGTTTTATAAGAACAATAACAATATATTATTTATAATGTTTTTATCAAATCAATAAATATGAATTTATTGTAATTTGATGAATATTTTTTATTTAAAAAAAAAAAAAATAAATCAATTTAATTTAAATAAAAATAATATTATATAATACTAAATATAGAACCCTGGAAGTATTTAAACAAGAAAATAAAAAATAAAAAGTATCATACATGGTGCTCCAGCTAGGCTAAACTCTTTTGGTTGTAGACCTCGTTTAAGATCACCTAGAGTAAAAGATATTATGAAAAAAATAAGGCATTATTCAATTAATAATGTTTTAAATTCATAATAAATATAAAAGAATTATTTTAATGTGAATAAAAATTAAATTGATAATTAAATGTTATCTTTTAAGTTATTATCAATAAATAAAAATTGTTGGTTTTCAGTATTTTCAGTCTTTTTTAACCAACAAATAATTTTATTTAAACCTTTAGTATTCTTTCTTAAAACATCCATTCTCAAATTACAATGAGCACAATTAATATAAAAAGATCCATTTCCTACTGGTTCTAATTCCCAATGATTTTCTTCAAGACTTTCAATTCCATTTGTTTGTGTTACTTTTGTTCCAGGTTTAGTTTTATTATGTTTTCTACCAAGATATTTTTGTGAATGATTACATTGTAAAACTATACAACGTTCATGTCCAGGTATTTCTAATTGTTTTATCTTAAATAACTGATTTTTTTGTTGGTTTGAATAAAATAAACTTATTGGACTTCCATCTTTCATAGACTCCCCATTTACATCAATTCTCATTGTTGGAGCACAAACAGGTTGAATTTGATATATAGTATTATTAAGAATAGTACCATATAATACTTTTCTGTCATTTTCTATTTTCCATTTTGTTTGAACTTTATTTTCTAATTCTTCTATTTCTATTTCTAATTCTACTACTTCATTAGATTCATTGAAATTGGATGTTTCTTCTGGAATTCCTTTTAGTTTTGTTTCAATCATTTGGTATTGTTCATTAAATCCTTCTAATTCTTTTATAAATTGTGTTTCACTTTCTATAGAGTTTATTGTTTGTAACTTTTTAATAACTAATGATATATTTTTTAATGTATTTATTAAATACTTGCGTTTCTCTTTTTCAGTTATTTCATCCCTTCTTTCTTCTTCTTGAAGAATAAGTGAGTCTTCGTTCATTATTTTTATGCTTTTCAGTTCTTAAAAACAAAAAATCTAAAATTATTTTATGTTTTACATACATAAAAGAAAAGCCAAAAAAAAAATATAAAACTCAAAATTATAAATTCATTTTCAAGATGATTTTATTCTACACTGTAGTTACACTATGTTTTGCTATTCAAAATAATAATGACTTACGCCAAATTCTACAAAGATCAGATTTTGTTATTAATTCTGCAGATAAGTTCATTGATGACTTTAGAAATACATTGAAAAAATCAAATACTGCAACTGAAATGTTTATTCAAAAAGAACCACCAAAATTACATAAGAAAGAACAGATTAAACGAATTAATTCTATTCAAAAGAGTCCTACAAATAGAAAGTTCATTAAATCAACTCAATCTCTCATTACATCCCATGAACCAATGAAAATAACTTCATTAAATCAAAGAATTACTGAGTTTCCTTATTTCACACCTATATTAAATGTTAATGAATTCACTCAAACAAAAGATAAATGTAATCCTCATGCTCCTTCTTATGGCTATTATATCCCTATTGTCATTCCTCCAAAGAAAATGTTAAGAGTATCAACTTGTAACAAAGACACAACAGTTTTTACCCCAATATCTGTTACTTATAATGAACAATGTCTTCAAGTAATTCAAAGAAAGTGTAGATTATGGAATGGAAATATTATTGAATATTTACCAAAAGGTAATAAAGGAATGGAGGCAATTGTACGTGTAGGAGCTTCAAATGTCAAGAATGCGACAGTAAGAATAACTGTTTATACAGTCCCAATAACAGAAAAAAATAAATTAAAGTTAGAACAAGGTCATGTCATGCGAGGTAATGTTCAACAATCAACAGTAAAAGTAACAACTAAAGATGGAGATATTGTCCCAAGAATTGATTTCAAAAATAATACTAAGACTACTCATACTTCTGATAACATTATATCTCAACCAAATCACACTATTCAATTACTAGAAAAAGATTTTCATAAAATGGGTGGTTGGTTTAAGGTATGTATTGCTATTTTGATTTCTATTCTTGTATTAACAGTAGGTGTAATTATTTTTGGTTCGTTCCGTGAGTCACAACTTCCTGAACAATATTCTCCATTTTAATTCTATTTTTTTTTGTTTCATAATTTAAAAAACAAAAAAGTTAAAACAAATTATGTTTTTATTATAATAATGGAAATAAACAAAAAAAAGAATAAACAAAAAAAGTCATCACTCTTAACTGAAAATTGTCAAAAGAAATGAACTTATCAGGAGTGTATGGATTAAAAGAAAAACAAAAAGAAGTCCTTGTTAATGTCCTTGAAAGAAAAGTTAGACAATTAGAATCTACAGAAAGTAAATGGAAATTATTAGTTTTTGATAAATTTTGTTCTGAGTTAATTGAAAGTCATTTTGTTGTTTCAGACCTTAGAAAGAATGGAGTTACAATGATTTTAAATATTGAAAATCAAAGACAAAAAATAGATGATGTTGAAGCGATTTATATTATTCAACCAACAAAAAAGAACATTGAAATTATTTGTCAAGATATTCAAAATGAACTTTATGAATCATTTAGTTTATGTTTTAGTAACGAATTAAGTCAAAAACAAATGAAATATTTAGCAAAAGAAGTAGTTCAATTAAAAAAGATATATAAAATTAAAGATGTTATTAATGGATGTTTTAATTTCCAAATACCTGAATACAATTTAATTAATTTTAGCATGGAACACTCATATTCCCTTTTTAATAATCCAACAATTTCTGATGAAATGGGAATGAAATTAATAAATTATATTGTTGATAGTTTATTTACTATTATTTATACTATGAAAGAAATTCCTATTATTCGAACAAGAAATTCTTCAACTGAACAAGTTATTGGTGAAAAATTAGTTAAAAAAATTAGGAACTTTATGAAAAAAGAAGAACATTATTTCATCGAAAAAAAAGAACGAACTTTATTTATTATTTCTAATAGAAATTATGATTTATCACAAGGATTAATGCATGGATGGAGTTATCAAAGTTTAATAAAAGAAACACAAAAAATGAATGGAATGAAAGTTTATTTAAATAATACTACTGAATATATTGATAGTGATGGAGACATTTGGACACAATGTAAAGAAGGAATTATTTCCGATGTTGCTGATACAATTATTGAAAAGACAAAACAACTAGAACAAGTTAAATATATGATACAACAAGAAAATAATAGACTGTTTAATAATGGAAATATACAAATTAATGAAGGATTATATACAATGAGTAAAAAATTAGAACATGAAATTGATTTACATACAACAATTGCACAAGCAGTCTTAAAAAGTATTCAAGAAAGGTCGATTGATTTACTATTTTCGTATGAAGATAATATCATGTCACATATTAAAATTGAAAAGACAGCATTACTTGAATTAATAAAAAAACTTGATAATAAAGATGATATTATTAGATTGTACTATGTCTGTTTATTAAATAATTTCCCAGTTGATGAAATAAACCAACTAATGAATGAAAAACAAATCGATTTAAAAGAATTAAAATATATTGAACATTTAAAACAAATGCAAGAATATCTTCATGTTTCAAAAAAAAATAATGAAAATAGTTTTAGTGTTACCAGTATGGTTGGAACTGTGTTAGGAAAAGTTGCTAAATTACTTCCTTCAGATAAAAAAGTTGCGGCAACAATTGTAGTTGATACATTATCAAATGCAAAAGGAACAGATTTAGAAAAAGAATTTAATTATTTTGACCCTATACAATCGGAAGAATCATTTATTCCTGAAAAGAGACATAAACATACTGATGTTATTTTATTTATGCTTGGAGGTGGTAATTATATGGAATATACTAATATTAGTCAATTTGCAAAAAAATCAAATAAAAGAATTATTTATGCTACAACTGAAATGTTAAATGGAACTGAACTTTTACATCAAATCTCTCGAATAGCATAATATGGTTGATTAGTTTTATTCTTCATTTTTTTACTAATTTATTTAATTTTTGAAAAGAAGAAGTTAAATGGCTTTAAATTAAAGAAAAGAAATAGAAGAAAAATAGAGTAAATTAAAAAACGTACAAATTAATTGGTATTATTATTTTGCAAATATTGGTTCAATTGAAATAATAAAACTGGGTTTTTTACTTGAGATAATAAACTAGTAATATCATGATTTGATAATTGAACTTTATGACTTATACAAAATATTAATGCTTCTGCATAGTCTCCAATTGCAATTAATATTTGTAATATTTGATTATTATTTTTATTCATTCTTTTTAACATATCCATAGCAAATTGATATGCAAAATCACATTTTTCTCTCATACTAACTAATTGTAATGCTACAATTTCATCATCAGGAATAATGTGGTATTGAAGTAACATTAATAGTCTTGAAGTTTGTCCATCATTAATTAATGATTCTATCAACCGGCAATACACTGGAGGTGGTATTTTTGTTTTATTAGAACATATAAATTCAATCATAACATAACAATACACTTGTGGCTCAGGTCTCCAATCTACTAAAGCAGATGATATAGCAGATGACTCTGAAGAAATAGTAAAAATATCTTTTAATGTTTCAAAATCAATATTACCTTTAGCAAAATCATTAAAAATTGATAATAATGCATTTTGGAGAACACGTTGTGGAGCTGAATGTCTTAGTAAAAACGAATATCGTTCTGCTGGAAGAAGACTTTGTGACAATAAAGCAAAGTCTGCTTTTAATGTTGTGATAGTTTGTTCATTAAAATTAATAAATTGATTATGATTAATCCTAAGATTATTTAATGAAAAAGGAGGGAGTTTAACAATAGCAATCTTATTTGCTGTATTATTTATTTCATATAATACTCCAATGGAATTAATCATAATTAATAATAAACCTCCAGTAACTGCCACTTGTGCATAACTATTAACAGGAACATGAAGTTCTAATACACGTTTTAATTGTGGACCAATTTCAATAAGATGAGCAATTTTATTATTTCCTTGATAAGAAAATATCCATGAACTTTCTCGAATTTTAATTACATCAAATGATATTTTTTCTTGTGAAGTAGTTGGTATTGTTAATGATTGAATAAGATGTAATGCTTCACATAATTGATATGTTTCATAAATAATACTTTTTTTCATTTGGGTTAATGTTATTACACAATCACCAATCCATTTCCATCCAGTTAATGGACGATGTTTTGTACTTCTAAATCTGTCTTCATTAGTGTCAAGATAAAAAAGATAGTTTGAGCTAATTGCAATGACATACTTTTGATAACTATCAAGAGCGATAATAGATTCACTACATTCAAAAACCTTTTTATTTCCTTCTTTTGTTAGTAAAAGAATTTTTTTTGGTTGATTTATTAAAGTATAAGCAATAGTATTTTTAATAACACAGTAGGTCATAATTACATCATTGAGTTTAGTTTCAATACAATAAATATAAGGAACAGTAGGTATGGAATAATAGAGTTTATGCTCATTATTGTCAATAAAATAATACCCACATTTATTATTTGGAGTAAAAAGACAACTTTTAAGATTGAACGTAGTAATGATAGGGATTATTGGAGTCAGTGAGTCGTTCATTGTTTTTTTCTAATTCTGTTTTTCTTTAGAAGATTCTTTCTCTTAGAAAAACATCCATTTTATGTAATTATAGATGAATCTTAGAATATATAACATTTTTTTTAATATTGATATTAAACCAAAAAATAATGACTTTGGTTTAAAGAGGTAAGATGTTTTAATTACTATTAATGTTATTAATTTATGAAAGATTAGATAATAATGATGTTAACTGTATTAATTTGTCAAATTGTCTTCAAAAAATATAACCAACCTTTCTTTTTATTAATTAGATAAAATACTGTTTTAAGGTATTAATGTAAATATGATATTTATCTAAACATTTATACATGACTATTTATTTAAGCTTTTATTTATTCTTTTCTTCATTTAATAACTTTGTTTTAATTTTTATCTAAATGAATTGATAATAATATAAGCCGCATTATTGAATAACCAACTTGCTAACCCCTCATCAGTAACTTTTTGTTATAATCATATTTCTTATTTTTTATTGATACATATACAACAAAATGATGTTTATATATAATATTATAGTTAATAAGGAAATAATGTATTCTTATTATATAAACATTTAATTAAAATACTACAAACAAAATGAATTATTTATTTAATCAAAATAATTATAGAAATGGTATAATAACAGCTATTGAAATTATTATTAAATCTAGTTGCTTCAAACATGAATCCAACTCTATAAACAATAATTGAATAAAGTCTCTAATACTATAAATAAAATAGAATATTATTAAGTATTTTAACTTTAAAATCAAATAAAGTGTGCATAAATAAGAAAAATAACTTTTTTATCATGTTTGTAAATTACATGATCATTAGTTATATAAATAAATATTGAAAATATTGAAAAATAAATATTTATTTGCATATTGTTTTTGAGAAGGAATAAGTCTTATCTTTCTTTTAAAAGAAATAAAACATAAAAATAAATGGTTATTTAAAAAAGAAAAATTAATTTTAAACAGGATATAGAAGGAGTGTTACTATAAATTATATTAATAAATTACTAATCAAAGAAGAAATAAGATAATATATGTTATTATAAGGAAATAAAAGGAATAAAAAATATTAATAATTAACTTATTTGAAAATCTAAAAATAAATTAGATTATTACCAAAATACAATAAATAAAAACATTGAACAAATGGTATTATTTCTTGTTTTAAAAGATAAAGAGAGAGATTTTTATAAAAACTTCATTTTAGTTATGATAAATATTTTAAATTTATTTATTATAAATTATCAATTGGATAATAAAGAAGTAGATATAATTTATTCTTCTGAGTTATATTGATTTTAAATATTTTTACTAAAAATAATTTTGTTATTCAATAATGTAATGATAGAAGCTTCATAAGTTTAAGACATAATTATAATTTATAAATACAATATTTTATTAGATGATTAAGCATATTTAAAGGATTCTAATTAAAAAATAAAAATAAAATTCATTTTCATATCTAATCATTAGATTATGTAAGAGTTAGAAAATATTCTTTCTTTAATTTTTTTGTTATATGAATAAATGAAAAACTATATTATTTTTAAACACATTTGTGGTAACTAATGTCTTTAATTAATCAAATTATTACATGTTTAGATAACAAAGAATAAATATTTTAAAATAATGTAAATAATAAGGAATTTTGTTTTAAAAGTGTAATATTATTTCATTCTAAATTAATCTTTTCTTCATTAAGAAAATAGATAATCATTTAAAAAATAAAAAAACAAATAGTTTTTTCAAAATACCTCATCTTAATTAAAAAACTGTCTAAAACCATTTAGCCTTTTAACTATTATATAATATGTTATTAGTTTCTTATAGTAATTTGTAGTAATTTATTCTTCTTTATTCCTTTGTAATATTTATAAACTATTATTTAAATATTTTAAATATTCTAAAACAAAGTTCTTCATGTTCTAAAGAACTTAGGATATTCAATATACTATATTTCTTACCCCCATAAGTCATAATTAATAACAACCTCTCATCATATCTCCGTTTGTCCATAACTAAAAATTGACTATTTTCTTTAAAAAACAAGAAATTATTGGTTTAATTATCAATATTCAAAGCATATTAAAACGAAAATGATGACGAAATTATATTAACAAAACGAATTAAAACAACGAGATTATCTTGTAGATAAAACGAAACCTTTGATTATTTAATCAAAATCCAAACTTGAAAAAAGCAAATAATGTTTAATC